TCCAGGAACGGTGGTTAGGAACCTACCCGCCTATATGACTGAAATACTGTTGGGAAAAGGCGTAAAATGAAACAAACAAACAAACAAACAAACCTATGCATGTCCTGTTGTTGTTGTTGTTGTTGTTGCTTTCTGTTTCAGAAGGCCACATTGGAAATAAGATATATATGATTGCTATTGTATGTTCTTAATGTGTAACCTTTTTTAAATAAAGATATTATTATTATTATTATTATCATTATTATCATTATTATTATTATTATTATTATTATCTGGTAACGTATTTTTTCCGATTGAAAATTTACCAATGAAACCAATGAAAAGTTTAAAAGATAAACTAAAAAACAACTTCGGGTTGTTGAAAAAGGTTCATTTTAATTATAATTACCAGAAATATATTTAGCTATATTTAGCTTATTGTAAGTTATGGGATAAAAAAGTTCAAAGAGATTGCTGTGAAATATCGACAAAAACACAAGAACTCTAAAATAATCAACAACAAAAAAACATACCATTTTCTTCCGCTATTATTTTGTTGTTAAAGTTATATAACACTCCAAGTATGATAAGAATACTGTAATCATGCATCTTGCTCAGTATCGACACACAGATGAAAATCATTTCAAAATATAATAGAAAAAGCTACGTGCGCATGAACACGTAACGTTGGTAACAAACACTCCTTACAAATAATTTGTCACATAACAGTGAGCGTCTTTATACCTGCACATGACATTTCACCTTTCATACATTTATCTTCATTATAAAAATTTGTTTGCAATATAACCCGTGCATTGTAACTTATGTTATATAATTGTTTATACTAGGACATATATAACCTGTCTAAATCTATCTAAGTAATAATGTGTACATGTATAATTCTTTATTGTTCTAGATTTTTCACGACAAACTTGTGTCTATAACGTTCATAGTCTTTGTTATAAAACTGCTAAAATTATACTGGCTTAGTTAACATGATAATATTGGTACTACAATCTTCATGGTCGCCCTTGAATTGCCAAGGTTTTCTGGGGTTCTAGAATTGTCACTCTCACCTTTGTCTTGATTTTCCACGGTTTATTTCGGTTCTATAAGTGCAAAATATTTCCCTTTTTTTCAGAAATTTTCTAAAAGGTTTTTCTTTTCACTTTTAATTTTTATATTTTCTAAGTTCCAAAATTTCCCCAAAAATTTTTTCCCCGGTTTTTTAAATTTTATGGTTTTTTTCGGTTTCCCAAAATTGTCACAGTTTTTAGGTTTTGGGGAAAAAAATTTTTCCCTGGGTTTTTTTGGTTTTAGAATTACCCTTGTTTGCTTTTTTTCTAGAAAAAACAGGGGTTAAATTTTTGTTTTAGAATTGCAAATTTTTCCCGGGGGCAAAAGGAAAAAAAAAATGTTTTAAACTCGTTTTTAGGTTTGGTTTGGGAAATTTATGGGTTATTTTGTTCTAGAAAAGCCAGAATTTTTTGGGTTTTTAAAAAATACCATTTTTTAGCCCCAGTTCCTTTGAATAAAAATTGTAAAATTAGTTATAGAAAATTCCCTTTTGGGTTTTTCTGGTTATTTTAAATTTCAATGGGGTTTTTCTCGGGTTTTCCCATTTGCAAAAATTTTTCTCTGTTTTTTTGAATTACCTATGGTTTTTAAACGGTTCTGGAACTGCCACGGATTTTCTTTACTTCCTTTGAATTTAAACCCTTTGGGTTTCTCCCGTTCTTTTGGAAAATTTCATCCCGGGTTAAAACCGTTTTATGATTTCCAGGGGGTACCTTTTGTTCAAAAAAAGGCCAGGTTTTTTTTGCGCCCTACCGGAAATTAGTGGGGGGAACATTTTTTAAAGGGGTTTACTTTTCCTCCGTCGCTGTCCCGTTTTGTCTGTTTGTTGTCGGCCGGGCCCCAAAATTTTCCGGAACCCAATCCTCATTAAACTATGGGGGTTTCAATTTTTATTCCCCAAACTTTAAAAAGGGCTGGTCAAATTTTCCAAGTCTAGTTGTGCATTTTTTGTCCCGGGGATTTTTCCGGTTTAAAATTTTTGTCCCGAGTTTAGGCCCTTTAATAATTTTTTAAATTTTTTCAATTTGTTCCCGGGCTACTTCTCTTATAAACCACTAAATTTCAATTTCAAAGAAATTTTTCAGGATTTTATTTTGTTTTCTCAAGCCTTGCGCATATGGCACGGGGGGTTTTCCCGTTAAAAGAATTTTTGGGCCCAGTTTTTGGCCCTTTTTATAAAAAAATTTTTTTTGTGGTTTCCCGATACACAAACTTGCCCGCCCAAAATCCTCATAAACTTGGGTTTCAATTTTATCCAACTTTTACAAAAAAAATGATCGTTTCCCAAAATCTAGTTGTGCCCTTTGTCACTTTTTCCCGGCCCAATAATTTTTTTTTATGAGTTAGGCCCCTTTTTTAAATTTTTTTTTTTTAAAGTTTGTCCAGGCTATTCTCTTATACCCAATGCGAATTTTCAATTAAAATTTCAAAAATAATCTGTTTTTCAAGTTCCCTTTCGGCATATTGCACCGGGGTTTTCCCGGGTTTGAAAAAATTTTTTTTGGTTTTTACCCCTTTTAAAAAAGGTTTTCTTTTCTGTTGTTTCCAGATACCAAAATTTTTCCCGGCTACTCCTCATTTAAAATATGGGTTTTAAAAAATTTTTTCCAAACCTTTTCAAAGGGAAAGATCAGGGTTTTCAAAAGTCTAAGTTTTGCACTGTTCCCCTTTTGTCTGCCCTCGCACAAAATTTTCCCAACATAAATTGGGCCCCAAAGAAGCGACAACCCTGTAAAATTTCTGATTCTTTTGGGCTAAAAATTACCAAAGGTTTTCTCGATTTTATAATTTCCCCCCCTTTTTATAATTTAGCTCTAGAAATTTTCCCAGGGCTTTCTCTTTTAATTTAATTTCCCTGGGGGAAAACAGTGCCCTTTAATTTCCCCAATTACCCTTTAATTTTTTAGAATCATCAAGGTTATTTTGGTTTTTAGGGGACCCCAAAACCTTTCCTCTCATTTCTGTAGGTTTTAAAAAATCCCCCCCCACCGGGACTTTTTTATTTTTTTCAGTGAGGGAAACTTAAACCCGCTAGCTTACGGGAAAACCCCAAGGTTCTTTCCCCAGGGTTTTCGATCTTTCCCCCTGAAAAAATCCTGAGGGGGGAAAACCCCTTAAAGCTGAATCGCCAAAGACCCATTTCTTTTTTTTCTGGGTCCCTTTAAAAATAAACCCCTTTACAAAAATTTTGGAGGAAACTTTTTCTTTAAAAGCCCAAAAATTTTTTGGTTTTATATTTCAGGAAAACTCGGTTTTTAGATTTCCATTTTTTTCTTTAAAAATTTAAGATGAACAATGTACTTTTTCCCCAACAACAAGGGGCTTTGTAGGGAAATAAAATCAAAATACATAGTTTTTTTGAACTTTTATTTCCAAATTTTTGATCCTTTTAACCCAAAAAAATAAATTATTTAAATCATTTAATTGCCAGTTAAGGGTTTAATGAAAGTTTTTAACTTGTTTATTTTTTGAAAAACAAAATAAATAACAATTCCCATGGGAAGACAAACCCTTTTCTTCAAGAAAATAACGATTTTTCAATAAACAAACGTAAAAAAAAATAAAGAAAAGAATAGGGTGTTGGGTACCTGTAATGATCACTTTTTTTTAGAAAATGAATTAAAAATTAAACATAAAATTAAAATGCCATAACATTTCTATAAATTTTTACCCGTCCCTTTTCAAGTCAAACAAATAAAAATATGAAAACTATTCAAAAAATTTCATAAAAATTTACTGTATTTTGTAATTTTTCTTTAATATATTCTTTTCAAGGGAAAAAATTTCCCGGGTTTAAAATTTACGTCATCTTTTAAAAATTTTTTTTACTTTTTTAAACGGGAACAAGGGAAAAAAATAAACTCAAGAAAATATTCTTAATTTTTTAATAAATTCAAAAAATAAATTATTTAGATTTAAAATAAAGTATTATCAAATTTTAAAAAAATTACCCCGACTTTAAAGCATTTAATGATTTTAAGAATATGCATTTTATTTAATGTATTCATGTTCAGAAAAAATTCATTTAAAATTTTACAAAAAAGGGGGGTAAATAACAAAAAAAATAAATGCCCATTAAATAAACAACATTTAAAAATTCAAAAAAATTTTTTTTCTTTAATTTCATTATTTATTTTTATCTCATAAGGGCAGTAAAAGTTAAAACCGTCACTTTATTAATGTTTATCTTTTGGTTTGTGTTGTAACCCTTTGACTTTACAGCAATAAAATTCTATGTGTTTTTAAAGTTTCATTTGGGGTTTTTATATGCATTTTTTTAAAAGTGAGCCGCCGTCACGACAAAAACCAACGTAATGCCGTTCGCTTTTTCAGTTTCTGTTTACTTGTAATAGGGTTTTGTAAGCGAACGCATTGGTCCTGATCAGGACTGCTCGTTGACGATGCGCAGGCGGGTTCTGGAATCCATTGACTGGTCGCAAAACATATTACGTTGGTTTTGTCGTGACGCGGCTATAAATGGTTAATTTTATAGTTTATCATGCCCCCTAGAAACCTTTCAAGCATCTAAAAAGAAAATGTTTATAACAATGAAAAAAACAAAATTATAACAAACATAAGTTATGCCCAAGATATAACCAAATAATAAAAGGTGGGTTTTTGGAGAATGTAACAACACAAAAGTGCTTTAATTTAAGCAAAACCCACCATTTACCGTTTTTTAAAGTAGAATTTTTTAAAATTTTTTAAGGCTTTTATTTTAATTTTACTATTGCAATGACTGAAAACCCTAAAAAACTCTGGGAAAATAATGAAAAAGCAGTTGTTGTTTTTTAAAAATTAAAATTTTCCCAAAGGGGTAGGCCCGGATTAATTTTTAAAAGGGCCAAAAAATGACTGTACTTTGTAAAGTCTTTTAGTTTATTTTTTAAAACAATTTTTTGGGGCCCAAAAAACAAAAGTTTTCCCCGTATGGTTTGGGCCCCCCGAAAAAATTTTAGTGTTTCTATATCAAGCTTATAGCTTCTTACACAAACTGAAACAAATTTTGTATAAATTATATGTAAAGTTTGATAATACATGACAAAACTCATATTGATTGAAAATCCTCTTTTCCTTTGCACAATACCTTTACCAAGTATGAAAATGTACTGACAAAAGATGTTTTTAATATAATATGCTTCTTGCAGATTTAGAATAAAATATTTCAGTATTGGCTTTAAGCAAAATCTATCATCAAGGCAATGCTGATACTATGAATTCACTGAAAAAATAAAAACAAGCAAGAGGCCTTACTTTATTGATATACAGCAAATAACAAAATTTAATGCCATAAAATATTTGTATTCTATCCATAGAAAAATGGATATTTTTACTGTACTCCTGGGTAATAAATTAATAGCCTTTCCATTATAACAACAAGTTCACACTGACACAAATTTATACATGTATATTACTTTCATCAAAGGCTTCAAATAAGTTCTAATTTTACCATTTACTTAAAAAGAGACCTATATCAATGTTAAACACCTACAACATAATGCTATATCATCATATAATGACTAAGCCCATCTAGTTTTACCACCTATAAACAAAGTTTACATAAAGTTTAAATAATGTTTTACATGATTTGTGTTCAATTTATCAAACATGTACAAAAATATCACAAAAATACGTAAAAAGTAGCATGCAAATAAAAATATGTTTTACAGAGATGTATGAAATAAATATGGTACATATATATTGCAATTACAAACAACATGGTGCTCAAATATGACTAAGAATAAGGTAAAGTTTCAAGCATTTTCCAGGTCATGACCTCTTACAACTACAATGTACAACCAGGAAATGCTGCCAAGGTTTGTTGTATTAAATCTTATCTTTTAAAAAATGTCAATCACATGGTTGTATATCTGTAATAAGAAAATATTATTGAGCCAATTAAGCAAACATGGACAGGATGACAGGATTACTGGGGAGTGGACATCTGTCTTTGTACATGCATTATCTGTCTATGAGCCTGAATCTCAGCCTGTGACAGGGGCTGGGCGTCAACATTCATCTGCTGAATAGGCGGCTGTAATCCTGCTTGGCCACGCCTCCTAGCTAGTGCCACTCTTGGTGACATCATCAATACAGGTGTCATCTGACCTTGACTGACCTGAAATTCTGTGTCAACTAGACGTTTGGCTGCTTGTAGTTGTAACTGTAGATGACGTTGTGAGGAGTTAGAGGCGGAGTTAGAGGCGGGTGTTGATTCTTTCTTCTCATCTTTATCATCATCTACTTCATCAAGATCAGGAACAACTTGTAGAGTTCCTACAGGGGCTGACATTGCTCTCCTAAAATATCAAATTAATTGTTAGAGTTTATCAGTAGTTAATTTCAACTTAATTGTCAAAGTTCACCAGTAATTATTATCAACTTAACTGTCAGGGTATAGCAGTTATTGATTAAAACTTATCTGTCACTGTATATTATTTATTAGTATAAACTTGACTGTCAGCGTACATCCTTAATAACATCTGTTATGCCACAGTCCTAAAAGCACTTCTTTCTTTTTATAAAGCCTATCATATGACATGGTGTCAGAAAATGATGCAATTATCATTTATCATGATTTATTATACCAAACGCCGAACTCATATATATTTGATAAAAAACCTATATTTTGCATTGAGGAAAGCTTACCATGTTGCTATGATAGTGGTGAGAGAGTCTAGTACTTGTGTGGCAGTTAAACGGTGATAGGGACTCATTAATAACAACTTCTTCACAACTGACTTGGTGTTTTCTGATACTCTCATATCACTGTAACATACAACAATAATATAAAACATTTGTTTCCTAGGTATCAAATGTGAGCATTTAGTTATATGTATATTTGTAAAATATTGCTTTACAACCCAACCACTTTATCATCACACTGTATACTATAAGCTCCTTATATCTGATAGGCAAATAATGACATAATGTTTCTGTTGTTATACATTTTATTTTTCAAGTTTTAAATAGTAGAAATTGTTACTTTACTTAGTTCATTATACTGTTTCTATTTAATTTCAATGAAACTTGCTAGATTTTTATCAGTGTATGATATATTGAACATACCCGACATCCTTTTAAAGCTATATCTAATGTAATGTTTTAGATATTTTATTAAATTTATAATCAGTAAAATTATATTGTTTCCATAATCTTCTAAATAGAGCTGTAACATAGAATGTCTCTGTCATTTAAAGGAACTCCACTGAGTCCAAAGGCCAAAAAGCATAAAATTTGAAAATCTTACATAGATTAATTGAGGCAATTATAACAAAAAAATATGTAAAAGATAATAATCTAAAAGAAATAAATTCCAAATTAAATTGAAAACAGATATTTAGTGAGTTAAAAGCATTTAAAACTTTTCATTTTTAGGTCATTTTGCAATATAATTTTCAGTAAAATTACATTTTATTGCAACTATTCCATACATAAATACATGTAAAATGCATGAATAATACCAATCAAATAGTCACAAAGAAATATTAACAAATGGGTTAGGCTACAAGTTCTGCATTATAAAAGTTATTATTCTGGAAAAACAGAAAGAGGGCAAATGATCTGGAATTTTGCACACTTGTTGTGCATAAAGATCTTGAAAAACATTTTAGTTCCATCATGACAAAGACCTCAATGGAGTCACTTTCATACACATGACTTTGGACTGTAAAACAAGAGGGCCATGATGGCCCTGAGGTCGCTCACCTGTATATAGCCCCCCCCCCCCCCCCCTATTGAACAGACTTGGTAGACACCCATAGGAAGTTGTTTCATGCAAAACATCTAAGTTCTAGCTCATTGGGTTTTTTTAAAAGAAGATTTTTTTAAGTTTTTACTATACACATATAGTTAAAAACAATGACACCCCTCGGGCAGGGCCAGTTTTGACCCCTGGGCTTTTATTTGAACAAACTTTGTAGATATTTACTTAAAGATGTTTCATGCTTAATATCTAAAAACTCTAGTTATTTGGGTTTTTTTTCAAAGAAGATTTTTAAGTTTTTGCTATGTATATAAGGAAAATCAATGACCCCCCGGGGCGGGGCCAGTTTTGACCCCAGGGCTTTTATTTGAACAAACTTGTTAGACACCCATTAGAACATGTATCATGCTAAATATCTTAGCTCTAGCTCTTTGGGTCCTTTAAAAGAAGATTTTAAGTTTTTACTATATGCATATAAGGAATATCAATGACCCCCTGGGGCGGGGCCAATTTTGACCCCAGGGCTTTTATTTGAACAAACTTGGTAGACATTCACTAGAAGATGTTTCATGCCAAATATCTAAGCTCTAGCTCTTACGATTCTTTAAAAAGAAGATTTTTTAAGTTTTTACTTTATGCATATAGGGAAAATCAATGACCCCCCGGGCGGGCCAATTTTGACCCAGGGCTTTTATTTGAACAAACTTGGTAGACATTCACTAGAAGAAGATGTTTCATGCCAAATATCTTAGCTCTAGCTCTTACAGTTCTTTAAAGAAGATTTTTTAAGTTTTTACTTTATGCATATAGGGAAATCAATGACCCCCTGGGGCGGGGCCAATTTGGACCCCAGGGTTTTTTTTTTAACAAACTTGGTAGACATTCACCAGAAGATGTTTCATGCCAAATACCTAAGTTCTAGCTCTTACAGTTCTTTAAAAGAAGATTTTTTAAGTTTTTACTTTATGCATATAGGGAAAATCAATGACCCCCTGGGGCGGGGCCAATTTTGACCCCAAGGCTTTTATTTCAACAAACTTGGTAGACATTTACTAGAAGATGTTTTATGCCAAATATCTAAGCTCTAGCTCTTACGGTTCTTTAAAAGAAGATTTTTTAAGTTTTTACTATATGCATATATAGGGAAATCAATTACCCCCAGGGTGGGGCAATTTTGACCCCAGGGCTTTTATTTGAACAAACTTGGTAGACATTACTAGAAGATGTTTTATGCCAAATATCTAAGCTCTAGCTCTTTACGGTTCTTTAAAAGAAGATTTTTTAAGTTTTTACTATATGCATATAGGGAAAATCAATTACCCCCCCAGGGGGGCCAATTTTGACCCCAGGGCTTTTATTTGAACAAACTTTGGTAGACATTCACTAGAAGAGATGTTTCATGCCAAATATCTAAGCTCTAGCTCTTTGGGTTCTTTAAAAGAAGATTTTTTAAGTTTTTTACTATATGCATATAGGGAAAATCAATGACCCCCTGGGGCGGGCCAATTTTTGACCCCAGGGCTTTTATTTGAACAAACTTGGTAGACATTCACTAGAAGATGTTTCATGCCAAATATCTAAGCTCTAGCTCTTACAGTTCTTTAAAAGAAGATTTTTTAATGTTTACTATATGCATATAGGGAAATCAATGACCCCCTGGGGCGGGGCCAATTTTTGACCCCAGGGCTTTTATTTGAACAAACTTGGTAGACACTCACTAGAAGATGTTCCATGCCAAATATCTTAGCTCTAGCTCTTACAGTTCTTTAAAAGAAGATTTTTTAAGTTTTTACTATATGCATATAGGGAAAATCAATGACCCCCCGGGGCGGGCCAATTTTGACCCCAGGGGCTTTTATTTGAACAAACTTGGTAGACACTCATCTTAGAAGATGTTTCATGCCAAATATCTAAGCTCTAACTCTTAGGGTTGTTTAAAAGAAGATATTTAAAGATTTTTCTTTCGGTTGCCATGGCAACCAGAGTTCTGCATGGAATTAAATTCTTTGAACAATTTTTAAAGGTGACCACCAAAGGAACATTCCTGTGAAGTTTGGATGAAATTGGCTCAGTGGTTAATGAGGAGATGTCTTTTAAAGCAAAAGTTTACGGACGGACGACGGACGGACGGACGGACGGACGGACGCCGGACGAAAAGCGATCACAAAAGCTCACCCTGTCACTTTGTGACAGGTGAGCTAAAAAGAATAACATATTCCGGACCGGAAACAAATATTATGCTTTACATTAAGTTTTTTTTTGTAGACTAATTGTGTCATACAATGTACTTTAAATAAATAAATAAACAGTCATTTCAGACACCTGTACTTACTTTGGTATTTTAAAATCTGCAGCTTTTATTTTTCTAAAGAGCTCCTGTGGTACACTATCATAGAATGGAAACTGTCCATACAACATTGTAAACAATACAACACCTAATGCCCACATGTCACTTGGTTTACCTAAATATGGCGACCCTGAAAATAATGAATGAATAAATATTTGACATTTAAATTTGCTTTTAACAGGAGGACCATAGTGGCCCTATATCATTCAATACTTCTACACAAGGTCATAATTCGGAAGTTCATCATTGTGTCATATTTTGGTCATTCAATGTCAAATTTTGATGTCATATAAAAGTGTGCCAGAGGTCAAAGTTTGAGTACAAACAATATCTGAGCAAAAATATTAGCAGTGAAAATTATTGTGAAGTATGAGTAATGATAGTACCGACATGAACAGCAGACCTATGTAAAGACTACTTCATGACTATATAAACTTCACATTGTATGAGGAAAGACATAAATGTATGTCAACAGCAGACCTATGTAAAGACTACTTCATGACTATATAAACTTCACATTGTATGAGGAAATGGGACACATAAATGTATGTCAACAGCAGACCTATGTAAAGACTACTTCATGACTATATAAACTTCACATTGTATGAGGAAATGGGACACATAAATGTATGTCAACAGCAGACCTATGTAAAGACTACTTCATGACTATATAAACTTCACATTGTATGAGGAAATGGGACACATAAATGTATGTCAACAGCAGACCTATGTAAAGACTTCTTCATGACTATATAAACTTCACATTGTATGAGGAAATGGGACACATAAATGTATGTCAACAGCAGACCTATTGTTAAAGACTACTTCATGACTATATAAACTTCACATTGTATATGAGGAAATGGGACACATAAATGTATGTCAAACAGCAGACCTATGTAAAGACTACTTCATGACTATATAAACTTCACATTGTTGAGGAAATGGGACACATAAATGTATGTCAACAGCAAGACCTATGTGAAGACTACTTCATGACTATATAAACTTCACATTGTATGAGGAAATGGACACATAAATGTATGTCAACAGCAGACCTATGTAAAGACTACTTCATGACTATATAAACTTCACATTGTATGAGGAAATGGGACACATAAATGTATGTCAACAGCAGAAAATCTTATGCAGACTAAATATATAGAGCAGTCATCTGGTGGGGCCACCTCTACAGTGATTTCTCATTGTGTAAAAAATTATATAAATTACTTAAAACAAAGAACAAGAGTGCCATTTGGGCCCTAAATTGCTCACTCTGTAGAAAAATTAATTTCCTAGTTTAGAGGACTGAAATAATTGTAACTGTTGTGTACAGTAAAACCCAAACATAATGTTTGATGAGGTTAGGTGATAAACTAAACATGAAAGCTTACCACTAAGTACATCAGGACTGATATATGCTGGACTACCTCGCTGATCAAGAAGTAAATCATTCTCACTGACTAAATGTTTACCAAGACAAAAATTTGTGATAGTGATTCTACGACTTCTCTTATTTAACACCATATTCCCTAACTTTAGATCTCTGTGTACAATATTTTTCTGAAAAGATATAAAACACATGTTACTAGAGTAAACAAAAAGTAAAATAAATATTTCTACATAAAATCATTGTAGATCTATTATAATTGTGACCTAGAAATACAAATCAAATGATTTGAAAGAATTATTCCTAATTATAGTACTGATTGATAAAAGTACAGAAGTTCCAAAACTGGTAGAATCTTCAATAAAATTAGGTAAACTGACAAAAGGGTATTGGATTTGTGCAGTTCTTTTCTTTTACACCCTGAATATTATATGTTATTTTGGTTTTGGACGTGATATATGTTGGATATAATTACCCTGTTAAGGATTTTTATATCACGCCGAGCCGTTAGGGAGGGTTGATATTTTATCTTTGGGGGCAAGCGGGAGTTGGTTTGAAATATATATCCACATCTTAATCACTTCCAAAAACCAAAATTTAATGAAATTTTTAGCTCCCTTTTCCCCTGCCGAGGTTTAGATATTTTTTTAAAAAAATCACCTGCCTGTTTCAAATACTAAACGTTTTTGTGGAAAATAAGATTACCCTTTGGGTTACCTCTTCTTTCACAACATTGACGTTCACATCTAAAATGACCTCGACGTATTTTCCCGTTAACCTACCGAATGTAAACAGAGAAAAGGAGTAGTCGAATTGAACGCACTTTTTGTAATTAATATCAAGCTTTCACAAGGTCATATTTGTTTTAGATACTGATGAGAATATGTATCATTACTCTACTTTGGTAAATATTCATCATTTGACAATTAAAAAAAGTGCTTTTAAATCGGAATTTACACCGCGTATAATCGAACCGTACGCGCATCACCTCAGCGCATGTTGTTTACAACGTTGGGTACCCAACGGGGAAATTTAGTGTGTATATTACCCGTCTGTTTCGGTTATATCAATTTCTTTCGGGTGATTAATATCCAATCAAAAAGGCGGAAAAAATCTGGAAGGGTAATAAATATATTTATTATGTACTCATAGCTGATATTTGAAATATTGTACTAAATTACAATAATAATTTTATAACACTTACCTTATGTAAGCATTCAACAACACGCACAATATCAAAGAAAATGACAATGGCCTCTTTTTCAGACAATTTTTTTTCTTTGATGACATAATGTTGAAGGTTAATAAGATCACTGTTCTGATCACTGAAGTTATGAGGGATTAAACAATCTAGCACCAGACATAGTCTCTTCCGGCGTCGTCCTGTATATTCCGGTTTATTCCCGACCTCGGTCTCTCTCTCTTCCCACGCCTCATCCTACATAGAGTTAATATCTCATCTTATATATAGTCAATATCTCATCTTACAATTATATCATATTTCCCAGTAAACAAAAAAAAATTCAACTTCAAGTTTAGTAAAAAATCAATGTATAGTAATAATACAAAATTTCAATTCATTTACAGTTAAAACAAAATCCAATTTTGTAAAAAAAAAATATTGTTAACTAATTTTCATTTATGCATAAAGACCTTGAATACGTAACTAAAAACTTGAGTACACAATGTCATTATCCATATATTCCATGAATATCTAACATAAACTTGAGTAAAATATAATATTATCAATAACAATCTTGAAGAATGTAACAAAAACTAAAGTACACAACGTCAGTATCCATATATTCCATGAACAGAACTTTATTAAACCAAATAAAATCCTTGAATAATCTAATGCAAACTTGAGTACACCGTGACATTATAATGTACATACCTTAAAGAGACCATGATGATGAACAACACCATCTTGATGACGTAGTAAACATAGGAGACTATATTCTGTATGTATCAACATTTTACCCTGTCTATCATCCTGACGTTCACATCCTCCATTCTCTAATGTCAATATTTTGAAAAAAATTACAAATTTCTTTTTAGTTCACCAAACAACAAATTTTCTAATTTCAATATTTTGAAAAAAATTTTAAAAATTTCCTTTTTTAGTAAATAATTTTGTATTTAGTATATTACGATTTAAAAGTGAGACGTTCTTTTTCCCATCAGTTTATAATAACTAATTATATTTTAATACCAACCTGTAGTAATTGGCTGTCAAGAATTAGAGGCAAGTTTGTATAATGGTTTTCTGCATTATCAATCTTATCTACTACAAACAGAGAAGGTTTTTTATGTTATTTTTTGGTTTCTAGTATTTCTGGACCCCTTAAATACCCCCAAGGAATATGACCTACAGGGTTTGGGAAAAATTTTCCCTGTTTTTCATTAGTTCCCCCAGTGTTTTTCTTTGCATCTTATTTATAATGTTAGCAAAGTGTAAAAATTGACAAAGAAAGTTGCACAACACTAGCTCAGTGAGTATGTGTATTTCAGCTGAACTTTTACCTACTAATTTGTTAACAAGCTAAAATTTTGGCTACTACCTTTCCAAACAAGCCCAGTGACATTGGTTGAACATAAAACCGTGATTTATAGCCTGTGACATTGAAGCCCATTTTCCAAAGCCTGTTGCAAATGTGGATTGGGGGAAATATAATTCTTATAACAAGTGACATGGTAAACATTCTATAACCAACTGGTGGCATGGTGAACATTATACAACTATTGATACGGAGAACATTATTTAACCAGTGACACAGCGGACATTGTATATGAACATTATTTAGCTAAGATTAATCCCAAAAACTATATAATTTTCCTTTTGTGTAAGAAAATTTTTCTTTTCCCTTTTTTCCTGGGTAAAAAATTGTAAAAATTTCTCTTTTACTGGGGGAGGTCCTATTCTCGGTCCTTAAATGAACCCAATTTAAAAATTTTTGACATTATTTCTATGGTTTTATTAATTTAATTAATATAAAATTTCCCTTACAATATTTCACTGTATGTTTCTTAAAAATAATTTACAAGGATTTACTTTTTAAAAAATTCTTTTTCTACTAATAACTTCAAAAAAATAACAAGGGGCAAAAACCTTTCCCAAAACTTTTAAAGACAATAAGAGGTTTTTAAATTTAAAAAAGTATACAATAATTTAATCACTTTCCCGTTTAAATTTTTAAAAAACTTTAAAATTTTAAATTTTTTAGAAAAAGGGGGAATTTTCTTTTCCAAACTTTTGATTTTCCCCTTTAACCAAAAGTATAAAGCTATAAATAAAACCTTAATAATAATTGAAGAATTATAAAGTAATTGTAAAGAATAGTGATTAACTTTATGCAATAGATAGTTACCAATTAACATGAATTTAAACTTGTGTCATTACTAATATATCACATAAGTACTCACCCAGTAAGTATGGTCCTGCCCTCTTTATACCACCAGGTGCTGGAGGTTTCATGTCATCATTGCTGGAAGTTGACCTTGACCCTAAAGATAAATGTCTACTTGACTGATAAACAGGTGCAGACCTATCATCATGTTTTTCTATTCCAGAATACACAAGTGGTGATTTTGAGGCAGAATTTTTGCCAGTTTTATCGTCACCCAAAGTCCGTGGAAGAAGTTTGCAGTTGAACTAACTAGATTTTGTTTTGTAGTTTTTAAAACACCAGAAGAGTCTGTCTATAGCACTATGTATTGTTAACTTTCTTCTTTGGATCAACATAAAACTTCTACTGGTTAGTTTGAGACAATAAACTTGATCCTGCTTGAACTGAAATGTTGAGGTCTCATATTGGACCGAGTCTACAAACAGAATTAAACAGTCTTGGTGATGAGAACGGGAATGGTTGCACACTGTCTGTCCGCGCACAGTGGTTTTCTGATTGTAAACTTGTGAAGCCATTGTTTTCTTGAGCACTTTGTGATCTACTAAACAGTTGATCTAAATAAACACTGTCAGGGTCTAGAAGGTCTGTTGATGATGTAAATGGGAATGAAGTAGCTGCATCCGTAAACAATGGACTAGCTATAGGACTTCCCATGTATAATGTATCATAGAGAGGTAACTGTATAGAACCTTGAATAAAATCGGATGTTGTGTCCTTCAAAGAACTTACACTGAATAAAGTTTGAGCTCTATTTAACACATTAACTGAAGGTGCTGTCGAAACAATTTCAGTAGACACCGATGGTGTATTAATTTGGTGTGCAACATCTGGAGCAAATGACACAGATAAAGATCTTGTGGAAGACTTTGAGTCTACCCTGGTTTTGCTTGAAGGAACCTGTGGTATAGCTGATGGTTTTGTTTGAATGGTTTTTGGTAAAGAAGATTTAGAAGGTAATTTACCTGAGTTAGCACCATTCTTCAAGTAAATAGCTGGCATGTAAAAGGGCCATTTGACTTCGGAAATGCTTATGTGGGAGGTATCACATCTATTTGGCTTCTCTGAACTTACAGGTTTTGATCTTGCTTTCAATGTTGTGAAATCGTTTTGCTTTGAAACTGAGTTACTAGAAAGACTTGGTCCCAAATTAATCAACGGTTGGTGAAAGTGAATGATTCCATTACCAAACATGGTCTGGGTTTTTTTGGTGAAGTAGGGATCCTTGCTAGTCTTCTGGGAATAGCATTAGGTTGGGGAATAATGGGATTTTTTGGGATACATTTAGTTCTTTTCCAGGAACTTGCTGGATCCCTGCTCAGTTGCAGTTTGTTACTGGTGTTTGTTGCCGGTTCCCCATCTCTACTTGCTACCCTGGCTTGTCTTTGACTACCTCTGTCATGTTTTTTTTATTATGGGCCTCATCTAACCTGGCATGTTTTTATTATGGGCCTCATCTAACCTGGCATGTTTTGTATCATGGGCCTCATTAACCTGGCATGTTTTGTATTATGGGCCTCATCTAACCTGGCATGTTTTTGCTCCATTTCTCTCAAGCTCATGTTTTTGCTGAGTTTCCTCTTCATCTAAAGGTAATTTAATTTGACATTTTACCTGGAAAAAAAGGAAAGACTGGAAGTTATAATACTTAACAAGAAGCTCAACTGGACCTATATTGCTCAATTGAGTTTTTTTTTAAAAAATGTGTGCCATGTTTGTTTTGTTTTTTTTGTTTTTCATTCACTATATCAAACTTTTAACCCATTAAACTTACACTTGGGTTCAGGAAAAAAGGAGATTACTCCAGAAAAATGGCTTAAAGTTTTATACACTAAACCTGTATGCAAAAGCTACACTTAACAGTAAATAATGACATAATCAGCCCGAGATGGGCATAATTGACAATACGCCAGAGATGAGATCACTCAACCTTTTACTGTTCACATGAGACCATCGTCATTTCAGACCCCTTAGAAATAAAAATAACTTTGTAATGAATATCAAAGAAATAGGTGTTTTGTTTTTTTTTATATGTTTTGAAAATGCATGAGTGTGGTAAGGGATAACTATTTTTCTAACAGGTTCTGCCCTTTTTCTTCATATATCAACATTTATTAAAACATTTTGCAAATTTTTATATAAACGTAAACTTCTTTTCTGGTCGATAGATACTTGCAAACTGTGTGAATTAAAAACCCTCTAAAATGTATCATTAAGATATTCTAAAAAAATTGACAGAAAATGGAGGAATTTAATTTTAATATAAACAAATAAAAATCTACTGCCACCATGATCTTATATAATAAAATCTACAGATTTCACAAAAAATTTAAGCATTGTTAAACTAGTAAGAATCATTTGATATCTGCAATATCCCTACAAAGTTTGACTGACAGACCGTAAATGTCAATTCGTTGTGAATGAATTTTGTGAATTTAACAAGGGATCAAGCAAAAATTCTCTCCTTTTTTCAGATTATAGTAAATTTCTTTTATTCTCTTTTAAACATTTCTTCTTTTTAACTCTCGCACAGACACACACCTGCACATAACACTTGAAAGAGGGTGTTGCAGTATAGATAAATAGATTGACTAAACTTGTGCAATATTTCCTAATGAATGTACACAATGCACTTCATTGATGGTGTTAAACCATCCATCTATCTTCCATTAATGTCAAACCCCATGCTGGGACAATGTTTTTTTCACCAAAATATTCGGCGAAATTCGGCCCCATTCCCCCCTCGAAATAGTATGTTTTTTTCCCCTCTCAAAGCCAAAATTTCCCCCCATATGGCAGCCAAAATTTCCCTGCAATGAATACCATCTTTTTTTGCGATGTAACTGCCGAAAAATGTTTTATTTTAAGTCTTGTAAGACTTGCTGTTTAAAGCAAAGTTGTTTACAAATTGTTCCCGGGTATGTAAGGGGAGCTACTCCCAGCGTCCCAACAAGTTTAACATTTGACGCTTTAATTTCTGCTGTCAATATTTTAGATCCGTATATTAAGAAAAAGCAATGTATTTAAAACTTGTGTTGCAAGAGTTGCTCCCCTTTTCTACTCACTGGAAAGAAAACAAGCAATTATCATAGTATTGCAAGCAATCCATAAGTCCCCCTACCAGTTAGAACCCCAGCAACATTCTGATGGCCATTGGCCATTCAATTTTACCAGTGGATGAATTGACATGAATGAACATAAATCTTTTGAGTTCTAAGTTTGTCTATATCGGCAGTAATGTGTTAAGTTTCCCTGCCTAGTAAGGAAATTATGTTTATACAACCTTGTCATATTATTATAATGTGGGATTTTAAAGTAAAATCCTATAAGGAATGAAGAAGTTGGAGTGAAAAATACCAATTTCTCGAAAAAAAATCTTAGTTCAAGGGGGGAGATAATTCTGGAAATAGTCTTGCTAGAGTATTTAACCTCCTCAAAAATGTTGAGTGATAATAAGAAAACATATATATATGAAGTTTGAAGTAGATACATTAGGAAATAAAGAAGTTATTTAAAAAAAGACAACATTTTTTTTCCATAAAAATTCTAAGTTCAAGGGAGGTAATGCTGATAATTTTTGTGCTAGAGTTGTAAACCTTGTCACATATGATGTGGTTGATGGTCAGAAACTTATATTTAAAGTTTGAAGTGAACACCTTAAGAAAATAAAGAACTTATAGTGAAAAAGCTGAAAAATTTAAATCAGAAATCTTGAAATTCAGGCTATTTGTTGCCATAGCAACCAGAATTTTCAACATAGGAAGAAAAGAAAAAAATGTGCATAATCTCCAGACTGCCATCTACCCATATTTTAAGTTTCATAAAAATATTTTCAGTACTTTTTGAGTTATCACTGGATCCAGTTTATGTGTTAAATTTGCCATATTTTCAGACTATTTGTTGCCATAGCAACCAGAATTTTCAACATATGAAGAAAAAAAAAAGACGTGCATAATGTCCATACTGCCATCTATCCATATATCAAGTTTCATAAAAAAAAATTCAGTACTTTTTGCGTTATCGTTGGATCCAGTTTTGTGGAAGGACGGACGGACTTACCAACTTTTGATGTTTATGAGGCAAATCAGCTCATAAACACCACCTGGACCAACGTCCATAAGCAAAATAAGCTCATAAACAGGGTTCTCACTAGGACTTTAATACATGGAGTCCATGGACTCCCAACCCTGAAAAAGTTGGAGTCCAAAAGCGCGTCGCAATTAATATGTTTACAGATTAGTCATTCAATGCTCACAATAGCATTGCTGATATTTTGAATCTTCAAGAGACTTCCAAGTTTATAGGGTTATTCAAGAAGAAACCTCTGAAACTACATAGTATAATTATTGTTTTGTTGTTAAATTTATTTATGAAATTATTTCATTATAATGCATCAACACATGGAAATCGTTTGTTTTTTTTCTCACTTTTATACCAAATCAAATTTTATTCTGGTTAAAAAAGTCCACTCTAAAGACAACAAGTTTGTATTTGTAAAAAAAACGTAAATGTATATAGGCAGCATTTAGCGGAATGAATAGGAAAATCGTGTACAGCTTCACAAAGTGTGTAAGAGATTCATCCGATCGACAATTGTTTGAGCAAATATCTTCAAAAGGGGGAAAATTGAAGATCCATATTTAAAGATTTAATGTTGATTAAATAATAAAGGAACAATTCATTTGTATGTTTGGCTTGGAAACCGAGAATTTTTGCAAAATTTTAGGGTTTCTTGCAAACGTGAAATCGCCGATGTTATGGATCAATTTTAGGATAGAATCTAAATATCAAAGAAAAGCGTATGTGTACCTGGCATTTCGGCACAATATCTTATATTCTTAATACTCTTATAGAAAGTTTTTGCAAGAATGAAACTAAAGCAAAATTGTGCCTAGAAAATGCCGAAAATATTCGACAATCATTATAATGACAATCATTCAAAATTACACTCATTTGTAATTTGAGAAAACAGTCTTTAAACTTGCGGCGTAAATAGTCGATAATTTTATCCTTTTGTCGGTAAAATTTGCTAATTTCCAATTAACTGTTGATCAAAGATATAAAATTATCACCTCGTGTTATATCTGGTAATTACATGTACTGTACAGCGCGTGTATACATTAGCCTGATCACTATTGCATGATAATGATCGGAAGCGTTTTCGCTGATTGGCTAATCGCTTCACGGGTCGATGTGCATAGGACCGCCTACCTATAGACTGACACGCGCTGATGCATTTGTGTATTTGTGGTTGTGAACAATCGGTAATGTTTATGCCTCCCCAGGCAAAATTAAGCGTACATGGAATCCTTGCTCTGAAATATTTGCGTCCAGCTGTAATAAACATGCGTACCGGGATGCCGAAATAAGCGTCCCCGAGAACCCTGATAAAAACAAAAAAATAGCTCTTAATTTGAATTTTATGAGTTTTTGTTCTTTATTTAATTACGGAATGAAGCTCATAATAATCAAATGTTTGCTCGGACTGACAGACAGACGGACGGACGGACCTCCAAATGGCATCGGCTCCCTTCCCCCAAAAGTGAAAAAAAAACACTGTGGGACATAGACATTACTCTCCAGAGCAGTAGTCCAACTAATTGTACTGCGCGACGAGATATTGTGCTATTTTCGTGTCTGGGCAATATCTCGCCTCAACTTAAATGATAAAAGCGAGATTCTGCCCGAGAATGAAAATATCTCAGAATCAAGCTTTGGCACGTCAATATATTTGGCTACCAGAGCAGATGACTGCACAATGCAATAAACGACTACAGTACACTATTAATAATTTCAACCTCCTTATTTCAGCTATTGGACAAAAAGAAGGGCCAACTTAAGACTCATACACAAATAATGACATTATTGTTTTTAACAACTGAAAGGTCCCAGCCCTATCAAATTCAAAGAATGAAAAAAATATTGAACTGAACAGCTGACAGAATTGTGATAGTCAAAAGAAATCATATTCGAACAATAAAATTATATAGATATTTACAATTTCCAGCCTCCACATACTAATTTCATTATACCGTGTGTATCAAGGAAGAATATAAAAAAAACAATAAATTTTGCAAAATTTGTGCAATAATTTGTTTGACAGCTGAAGCCGGAAGTCTTCACAAAAGCTTGACGCGCATGTAAAACTTGATCTGGATCTTTCAGGCGCATGACTTGTTGCTTCACTCGATTGCATACCTCTAAATCTTTTCCTCCCCTTTGCTTTGCTACATAGTAGCCAATTAAATCACCGTGAGGAGTTTGAAATGTACAGTAACTAGTCTCAACTTTTCGGCCCTTTGTAAGCGTCAAAATTCGGATAAATTCGGATAAGAGCACAATACTATGAATACATAGAACAGATATGACGGTACAAGTCAACCCGGCCCTAAGTCAACCCGGCCTCAACTGAATCCGGTCCCAATTTAGTCAATCCGGCTAAAACAATAGAGTAAGCACGGATGTAATATAAATCCGTGGAGTAAGTCCTAAAATATTTCCAAAGTTCGTTATAAAAAAAATATTTCATCATTTTTTCTCTTAAGTTACTAGTATAGTAATGGTACCAAATTAGACATCATAAATTAAAGCATTGTCATGTTTAGGAAAATATATTTTCGAATTTACATCAACTAAAGACATGAAATAGACCAAGTTTTTTTTCACAATTAATATTTCTTTGTTTATTGATTGCTCTTACTTATTTGTTCATCACGTTTGAACAAATGCATACGTTCACACACATAATTATTGATGTTTATATAATCATTTATTATCACTTTTATGTATGAATGCCTTAACTGGTGTTAAGTTACCGGCAAATTATAGCCTAATGTTTTCAATAACTTTATTATACGGTACAAGTCAACCCGGCCCCAAGTCAACCCGGCCCCAAGTCAGCCCGGCCCCAAATTGGTCAACCCGGCCCCAAACCAATATTATTTCTGGTCAACCCGGCCCCATTTTTTTATTATTTATTTTGCTTTAAAATATAAACACTTATCAAGAAATAAAATAAAATTAACAACAAAAACAACGGTGATATCTTTTATTATTTATTTTATATAAAAACTAACAATATTAACAAACAAGCAACACATGCATAGTTTATTGTTTTTACCGTCGCGAAAATAAGTTGACGTCTGTCTTCAACATTAACCTTTCTACGATAGAAGTATTAAGAAAAAACTTAACTTTTTTAATGACATATCATGGAAAAGAAACCGTAATGTGTTCAAATCATTACTTTATGTTATTGTATGTTAAAAAAAATGACAAAAGCACACTAAAATGTTTCCATTAACAGTTTTTAAGTAAGATTAATTATAGAGATGCTACCATCTATCACAGGAATCGCAGGTCACTGCCTCCTGTCTGTCACGCACAATATATCCACAATGTCACGCTAAATATATCCACAATCAATACAGTTATCAGTCATAATGACATAAAGTGATAAAACACTAAACACTATCAATTTTTAAAACATTTAGTAATATTCCAATACTTTTTACACAGTAAATATTCTTTGAAAATAAGTTTATGAAAAACGAAACAAATATTAATTATACTGATGAACGTATTCAATAAAAACACTTTTATGCCAGTTCATGTTTTTTTTACTATTGTTCTATAGTTAATATAATAAAGTAATAATAAATCATTTTTATTCCATCATACAACAAAATGACCTGAATAGTTTTCTTTGAAAATATATATTTTGGGGCCGGGATGACCGATTTTGGGGCCGCATTGACCAATTTTGGGGCCGCATTGACCAAATAAAAATATTGTGGGGCCGGATTGACCAATTTTGGGGCCGGGTTGACCAATTTTGAGGCCGGGTTGACTTGGGGCCGGGTTAACTTGGGGCCGGGTTGACTGTAATTCTTATTATATGGTTTATAATCTTCATTTGGTAAAGTTTTATTTATTTGTATATATGAAATTATCTAGACATTTTTGAAAATCTTTTTTTGAATGTGCGTAATAAATATATCATTTATAAACAAAGGGAAAATGAAAGAAGCAAAATATCGTCTAAAACATAATAATTCAATTTAATAAAATATTCTCTAAAAATAAATTTTTGGGCCGAATTGACCGATTTTAGGGCCGGGTTAACCGAATTTTGGGCCGGACTAACCGATTTTAGGCCGCATTGACCAAATAAAATGGGGGCGTCCGTGGCCGAGTGGTTAAGGTCGTTGACTTCAAACCACATGCCCCGCACCGCTGTGGGTTCGAATCCCGACAGTGACTTTGGATTTGTTCATGTGAGGAAGCTATCCAGCTAGCTTACGGAACGTCGGTGGTTCTACTCAGGTGCCCGTTCGTGCCTGAAATAATGCACGGAAGGGCACCTGAGGTCTTCCTCCACCAGTAAAGCTGGAATGTCGCGATATGACCTATACTGCGTCGATGTGACGTAAAACCCAAAACAATACAAAGACCAAATAAAAATAATGTGGGGCCGGATTGACCAATTTTGGGGCAGGGTTGACTAATTTTGGGGCCTGATTGACTTGAGGCCGGGTTAACATGGGGCCGGGTTGACTGTAATTCCAGATATGGTATTACGGTTTGACAAAAAATAAACATTTAGACTTGTGTAAATAATTAATTAAAGTAATAATTAAAACTTAAAAAACTGAATCATTCTATTTGATAATATCGTGTTCAAGTCATCTTATCTACGTAAGCACTCGTAAATGATTTTTTTATATAAAATTTGCATCTGAAAGCCCTGCCCCCTCCCACAAACCATTTTTTCTTCTTTATGGAAAGATTAGCATAAAACGCCCTTGCATTTGTTGGCGTTAAAAGTCTGTAATTTCCTGTGAAAATAAATAAACGTGAATTTTAAGTTGTGTAGTAACAAATGCATAAGAAGTCTCTATTCAATATGTACGGTCAACTAGAAATTAATACCACATCTAGCATTTTAAAATCTAAAATTTTCTTGAAAAATGTAGACACTTATCTTCTTTGTAAATGTGCATCTAAAATGCAAAAGTTGGCAACATTAAACACGCTGCTATCAGGAAGGGTCCAGATTATTTTAAACTTAAGCAAATTGCATAAGGTGCAAACTATTAAAGAACGCTACCAGACTGAGACAAAGAGATAATTATTTAAAAAGACATAGAACATATAGAAAGGATGCAGTTATCCGGCAAAAAGGTTTAAGCTGGGACTAGCTTGTAAGGACACAGGTAGGCCATAAAACAGGTGATTTCTTCTGGAAAAATGAATACTCGTGATGCTGTGTTCTTGACTATGGTATCAGGTAGTTTAGGTTTCTGGTGGGTGTCAGATGGTGATGGTCTGTAAATACAAGATATGAAAAAGGAAAGGCGGCGTTCAATGAACGCAAGGCCTATAAATTTTGGGCATTTATTTAGATAGACGCAATGATGGCATGCTTCATATTATTGAGGAAGTATCAGATCTGAGAGAAATTTTTAAAATGTTGGGATGCGAAATCCTTTAGTAATCTTGGGGAAATTCTGTCATGCGAGATGTTGAATTATACTTGTGCAGGTTCTAAGGAGCGTGCTAAGGAGCGTGTACGGTAGCTTGTTCTTTCCAATACCATGAACTGTCTCAACCAAAACCAAGTCTTGCAATATTTTCAATTTTGCACTTTCTTTTTTCATTTTTGCATTTTTTGGTCTGGAGTTCCTTCCCCTTATACTACTTTCCGCAGTAAATGTAGGCAGGGAACCAGACTATTTTTGGACAAGCAAAATATTTTGTGGCGTACACCCTCAAATACCAAATCCAAGGACGATAACTTGAATAATCAGTCCAAGGACGATAAGCGTTCAATGATTATGATCAAGCGAATAACATAAAATATGTCAAATTTATCATTTTTTAGAAAATCTGCATTACTATTATATGCGAATAAAGGTAAATTTGTCGTATGTGATTGTTATGATTGGTATAGGTTTAGATTTTCTGATTTATGTAAAATAATGTATTTTTTCACAGGTTTTCGCGACATTGAATTAAAAAATATTTATTAAATATCGTTATCAAATGAGTTTTGCGGTCAGTAGAAGTTACCTTCTTGAGCTGATGTATCATCTTTCTACATAAAAAATGTAGATGGTCACATTTCTGTAAAAATAACATCAACAGTAATCAAAGGTCAAAATAATTTTGGCTAGCCGTACGGGCCAGTACGGCAAGCCAAAAGTTCTAGCCTTACGTGAGTCATGTACGACTGGCCAGGACACACTGTATTGACTAGCCGTACAACACTTTTCAAAATTATATTGAAGTCGAAAATGCATATGTTATTTTGTGTCTTTTAACGACGATTTTAATCAAATCTCCGCATTTGTCCAAGTGTGTTCACTTTAATTAAATTAATAAAGATGCTCCGCAATTTTGCAATAAAAATGAATACTCGTGAACAAGCGTTGTATAATCTATCTTAATAAAAGTATCAAAGTTGCCCGTATAACGTCCTTGATTATCATGCTTATGATTTTTTGTTTTTTTTTGTATAAATGATGAATTGTTAAATCTGTTAATTAAGCACATGGATCAAATAAATAATGATTGGAGGGGAATAAATAAATAAATAAATAAAAAGAATATTAAAAAAAAAAAAACGGTGAAAAGGAAAAATAATTTAATAATGCAAACTTTCCTTAATGATGGATGATGGACAAACTTCTATACCGTTGGTAATTGACGCACGCAATTATCAGAGCCCAACAACAATTATTTTCGGCGTTTTTTTTTATTATTATTATTTAAAAATTAAACTTAATGAAACAAAAAAGGATTATTATAAAAAATTGTGTAAACTATTTCAATTGATGTTATTTATATAACTGCAACCAAACGCTATTTTTCTCTCGACGTCTTGAGATGACAAAGTACATTCTTTACAGTAGCCAACATGGCGATTAATCTCTTAAAAGTAAACATTCTTGAGTAAAATTCTCTCTTAAAGTCATAAAATAACATATATGCACTTTTGCCTTCCATATATTTTTGAAAAGTGCCGTACGGCTAGCCAATACAGTGTGTCCTGGCTAGTCGTACGTGACTCACGTACGGCTAGAACTTTTGGCTAGCCGTACGGGCCCGTACGGCTAGCCACTTCCTTATGAAAAAGGCAAAGCCTCAAAGCGAGCTCAATTTACTTTTACAGTGAAACAGAATAAAATAATCGTTCATTTTTATTTTACATTTTCCGTTTAAAACTGTCATTCGGTATACAATTAAGTGATTCTGCTTATTCTGGTTCCCTGTCCTATTATGGTTCCTATAAAAGTGTGCAGGAGACCAGTCTATGCATCCGTTTTCAATCAGAATTCCTCAGCTTTTGTCGTTATCTTGTAATTCGAAAAGTTTTGATGTGTCAGTTTCCAATAGTTTTGCAGTACTTCGGATGAAAGTTTTTAAAACCATCACTATCTAACAGGTACTTAAAAGTTACCGTAAAGTTGGCTTTGCGAGTAGGCCCTTCGTGCCAGCTCTTAGAGTTCGCTATTAAATATTACTCTAGTTTTTGGGTCAGCATCTCATTTAATGTCAAACCTGGGATATAATGTTACAAAACAGGCAACTGAAGATGGTAATGTAATGATTTGCTCCACTGACGATGCATCCCTAACAACTTGCCCCACTTTGCTGTGTGTGTGTAGTCTATGCTTAATGAGGGTCCATCCACTCGTAAGGCTTTCGCTGTCAAGTACTGACCATGGACAAAAAAATTGTCCCCAGTCATGCCCTTAAAGAGTTATTTAATTTTGAAGCACAAAGTGGTGATGATTTACTTCCATGCAATTTCCACAGTATGAGTATATTAGCCAAAGATATGAATTTTGAGCCAAAAGTAGGTCACTATACTGTGGTCAATGAGAACCTAAATGTACAGTAACCTGAGACAATAATGAAAGGAGGTAGCCCTTAAAAGGGCTGTTGGTGTCAGCAAAACGTCTGCAGTTCAGACCATAAACCAGTAAGCTTGGGGCTCACATACCCTAGCACACCACCCTTGTTGACTCAGAGCCTACTTTGTAGGGCCACTCCCCTCGGCATTAGTCAGGAAATCGGCAGCTGGTCTGCAGTACGAGTTCTGATCTTTTGCACCATCCCAAGTCTTCAAATCTTCTGCTGATGCCCTGTGCCTTCTCAGCGATGAGCACGCTCCAAGGGTCTGACAAGTGAAGGTTTTCTGCTGAAACTGCAGTGATGTCATATTCTGTTGGAAAAAGTTCTACTGAAGCCAAAAAGGGCCATAAATTTACATACCACGGTATCATAGTGTTCTCCATTTAAACTCCCATTCAAAACAAGGCTAACTAACCTAATTGAAATCATTGAGTTATTGTATGAATAACTGTCAAAATGCGACACAATAAAAAAAGAAAATAGTTCTTTTTATTTGTACATTTTGCCGGAAATAATAAGAACAATGGTACCATAGGGGACCATCCTATATATAACATTTTTAATTCATTTGGATTGAAAAATATTTATGGTTACCGTCTGGATATTTGTGCATTTATTTGGTATACTTTTTAACGATGATTTAGAGATAAAATAAGAAAATTATCAATTTAACAGAACTAACAATTACCAATGTAAATAGTATGTTTTTATTTAACTTTCAGAGTTATAAATAAGTGATAATTGTTTAGTTTTTACATGATTATCAGCAAATGCAAATAATACAGTGAAGTCAAAGGCCAGGACCACAAAGAGGGCTTTGGCTTGCCCGGCTATATAGTTATATACTATACTGTATATTTAAAAGGAAATCAAATAAAAAAACAATTAAAAAATATATAGATTTCTATATATCTATAATTTTCAGTGTCATTTCTAATTGGCCTAGCCATTTTTAATGTAACTCAATGATAATCAACAAGGTAACCCTGTATTAGTGTAATATATTATAACATTTGCAACTTTTCAGCTTAAGAATAATTGTTGAGGTATTTAAATTGAAAACGGAAAGCGGTGCATGAAACACAAAATGACACCTTTAAAAAGGAAAAATTTAAATAAATAAAAAACAATTTTTTTTTATCTGACTTCCCGTTTATAGGCCATGCCTATGTTCATATTGTATATCTAACTTTAACTCTTTTTTGTAGGAAAAAGATTAAAAACATGATGCCTATTGATTATTGTAGTGGGCGAATCCGCAACGAAATGGGGCGAATTGTTATCAGTTTTAATATTGATAACCTAACAGTTAAAATGATCAATTTCTGTCCTTAAAGTTAGATACAGAGAACATTTTATTTCACAAATATACCAAAATAAAACATTCAATCTTATCATTACTTACTTTTGATAACCTACATAAATAGGGATTTTTATGTTAACTTGTTGTAATATACTATTTTTATGTTAACTTGTTGTAATATACTATTTTCATGTTAACTTGTTGTAATATACATTTCAGATGCAGTATTTTGTCTGTCATGTCGTGCTAAATCAATTATGTCACATTCAAATGCTGTAATGCATGTAATGTTAGAAAAACACAGAGTTTCCTTACTTAACAAAGACCGCGAACCTACAGACCTCACAGAACCAATTAAGAATTATAGAAACTCAGATGTGGCCATGGTCAATGAATACAGGGAAAAGTTTCCTGAATTTTTACCTAATCCAGACTGGAAGTATCGAGATCGTTTGGGGGAGAAGTTGGAAAGACTGGAGATGTATAGAAGAAGAAAGAATATAGACATTCCAGAGTTTTATGTTGGTATGTATATACTTGTATTGACTAAAGATAAATAATACATTTACTGACAGCTTTGGGGGGGGGGGGGGGCATATTTCCAACTTACTACAGGCAGATGCTATTTACATATAAATAGAACAACATGGTTATAGTAAAGTTAGTTAAATACATGTAGGATATTTTCACCCTATCACCAGGGGGCCGAAATAAGGCCCAATTCCCAATCCAAAATAGTTTCTTATTTCCCAATTTTAAATTAAAATTCCCAACAGTAGCTTAAAATATCAAACTGTTTCAACTTTTGAGAAACATTGAACTGTTTTGACTTGTTTCTTTTTTTGTTTTTGTTTTTTTTGTTGTTTTTTTTTTTAAATTTTTAAGATATTATTTATACATACATTTGTATGTTTAATAAACTAAAATGTGATGTATAAGGTAAATTATAAAATTTCCAAAGCCAAGAATGTTGATTTTCATATTTAGTAGAAATATTGACCAATATTATTGAATAGAAAGTATATGACAATCAGGTTCCTGTCTATATAATCCAAATTCATCATCTGATTACTTAGAAAATGTTACTTTTGTACAAAAATGTAAATATACATATTAGATTGTTAGAAAATGTATCATTGTATGTATATAATAAAACTGTCCACCCACTTAACTCACAAGGGATAGCATCACATACAGGGGTCACTGGTTCAATCCTCAGGTGAAGAGTAATTTCTCTATTACCATTGATCTTGAACACTAAGTCTAACTGTCACATCTGGTTAAAAATAATGCAGGAATAGTAGTCGGTCATTTACAGAGAAATTGGTTAATTATCCAGGAAAGTTTATTGGGTAGATTGACTGTCGAGATATTACAAAAATTGTGTTAAAAATGTAATCCAGCTATAGATAGTTGGATAAAAATTCAACTACATGTATCAAGATGAAGAAAAAAATCTAGAAGTAAAAAATGCAGCACTCAGAGGTCTGACTTTTAGACATTGAATGTTAAATGAAATAGGTACTGGAAAAGTTAAAGCTTCAAAAGTTGTAAGGAACCTGAAAGAATAGAATTTATAAATTTGATGTAACACCATGTTATAAACATCCACACTAATTCTACAGTCTACTAAAGTTTGTCATAATGACTTATTGATGTGTAACATATTACATAATCTAATAGACAAGTATTGGCACATTATATTATTGAATGTTTTTTGTTTATAGGTAGTATAATGGCAGTTACAGTGTCGGACAAGTATGCTCCTGGGAAAAGCAATCGATTTGTAGGAATATGTATACACAGAGAGGGGCATGGACTTAAACATACGTTCATTTTGCGGAATGTCATAGATAATCAAGGTATTGATGCTTTCACTAAATTCCTTTTTCTGGAGCCTCTGTTCTTGAGTGGTGATATATCCTGACAAACTCTAATTTAATCTTTTATAGAACACAAAAAAAGGAAAATTTAGAGTTGCATAGTGAATTATCTGAAACTTTGCAATATAAAAGAAAATGATGGTTGAAACAACTTGATGAAAAACAATTGGGGTGTCACCATCCTACTTCTGTCTATTTAGAATATGGCACTACTTCCGAAAATGTCTTTAATTTGATGGCGTTACAAATTCTGAAAATATATGAAAAAATAAAAACTTAGTGAGACAATATGAAGCTTTTGTGATATACATCATTCATATTTGTGAATACTTTCTTTGTTAAAGTCTTTAAAAATCCTTGACATTTTGTATTATTATTATTTTAATATCTGGGTTAACTAAGCAATGACATAAGTTTATTACAATAATGTAAGACAAACTTTCTTGTCTTGTTTATCTAGTAACTTTTGGTTATTCAGTAATTTTTGGTTGTGGGACTTTTGTTATATCACAATTTTCATCGAGGGGTGACTGCTATGATATGTGTAAGGCAATGCTTTTTTTCAGGTGTAGAGATCATGTATGAAATGTATAATCCACTGCTACAAAGTATTGAGGTTTTATGTTTGGAGAAAAGACTGGATAAAGAACTGTTTTATCTACGAGACTGTCCACTAGAATACAGTTATTTCCCTCAAGATTTTGAACAGCAGATGATACACGAGGGTATGGACGTTCCTGTTAATAACATCAAGGTAAGTGCTATATTATGTTGCTGGAAGTGAGCATTGTAATGTTTGGTACTTTATTTGGATAATAGTCCACAATAGTTCAATGGCATCTAAGTCATGATATAAACAACTATAAAACAAAGTGTGTCTTGACTGTTTAATTTACTAATTCCAATTGTGCTGGAGCTGCATACATTTAGGTGGGAATACATGTTACAGAGAATCATGGGAAATACAGACTTGCTATAGCGATAACATAAATAAATTATCAGTACATAATTCTACAAGCATTATCAACATTTATCATCAATATATTGATTTTGTAAATCTTTTGCAACAAGTTTTTTAAGCTTAACTATTGTAAAGTGCTAGAGTAAGCTATTTTATTGTACATATCTAGGCTTCTGTATCACTTTTGTTCAGATTTTTATTAATTTATTGACTTGAATATTTGATACATACATGTATGTACTTCTGAGGCCCGTATTGAAGGTCGGGTAACCAAATGCCTTAGCCTAATTAAATTAAGTTGTCACTTACTTAAGTTTAATATGTACCTTGTTTGGTAATCTACCCAAGTCTATATTGTTTGATTTTATCAACCTTACAGTTATGAATACATTATAGCACTCATTTAAATATTTGATCCGAAATGAATTATTTATTTACATGAATTAATAATTATAAGGAATATTAAGGAATATATAATTTATAATGTTTTGAAAAGTCAAACTATGTTAAAGCTGACCTCGGCTTTTCTAAAGATTAAATGTGTTATTTTTTAGATAAATCTTTTCATATAATTGGTAAAGTTTAACAAATTTTTAGCTTGACTATACAAAGTATATGGAGAGCTGTCCTACTGGAGTCGGCGTCTGCGTCCAGATTTCAGATAAAAGTTTTGGTGCAGTAAAATATTTTTCACTATAACTTTTTCAATTCTTAAGGTATCAACTTCAAACTTCAAATCTATTTCCTTATCATCAACCACATCTTATATAACAAGGGTCATAACTCTAGCTCCAATATTTTCAGATATATCTCCCCTTGAACTTAGAATTTTCCTTAAAAAATACAATTTTTTACTGTTACTTCTTCATTTCATTTGGGCTCAACTTCATACTTTAAATATATGTTCCTTATCATTACCACATGTTATATGGCAAGGTTCATAACTCTAGCACCAATATTGCAAGAATTATCTCCCTGTAAACTTAGATTTTTTTACTTGAAAATTGTTATTTTTTAGCGCGACTATTCGATAAGAATAAGTAGAGCTATTGTAGTCACCCGAGCGTCGGCGTTGGTGTCCGCGTCGGCGTAACCACTTATGTTAAAGTTTTTGTAATAGTTCAAATATTTTCAAAGTCCATTGACATATGGCTTTGAAACTTGGCACACTTGTTCACCATCATGACCCCAACCTGTAGACAGGAGAAGGTAACTATATCAAGCATTTTGACAGAATTATGCCCCTTTTTCGACTTAGAATTTACGTTAAAGTTTTTGTAATAGTTCAAATATTTTAAAAAGTCCATTGACATATGGCTTTGAAACTTGGCACACTTGTTCACCATCATGACCCAACCTGTAGACAGGAGGAGGTAACTGTATCAAGCATTTTGACAGAATTATGCCCCTTTTTCGACTTAGAATTACGTTAAAGTTTTTGTAATAGTTCAAATATTTTCAAAAGTCCATTGACATATGGCTTTGAAACTTTGCACACTTGTTCACCATCATGACCCCAACCCTGTAGACAGGAGGAGGTAACTCTATCAAGCATTTTGACAGAATTATGCCCCTTTTTCAACTTAGAAATTTACGTTAAAGTTTTTGTAATAGTTCAAATATTTTCAAAGTCCATTGACATATGGCTTTGAAACTTGGCACACTTGTTCACCATCATGACCCCAACCTGTAGACAGGAGGAAGTAACTGTATCAAGCATTTTGACAGAATTATGCCCCTTTTTCGACTTAGAATTTACGTTAAAGTTTTTGTAATAGTTCAAATATTTTCAAAGTCCATTGACATATGGCTTTGAAACTTTGAACACTTGTTCACCATCATGACCCCAACCTGTAAACAGGAGGAGGTAACTGTATCAAGCATTTTGACAGAATTATGCTCCTTTTTCGACTTAGAATTTACGTTAAAGTTTTTGTAATAGTTCAAATATTTTCAAAGTCCATTGACATATGGCTTTGAAACTTTGCACACTTGTTCACCATCATTACCCCAACCTGTAAACAGGAGGAGGTAATTGTATCAAGCATTTTTTCTTACTATCAAGCACTAAGAATAGTCGAGCGTTGCTGTCCTACCGACAGCTCTTGTTACTATAACTTCTTTAGTTTTAAATGTATCTTCCTCAAACTTCAAATACTTATTCCTTATCATCAATTACATCTTATGTGACAAGGTTTTTAACTCTTGAAGCGATATTTTCAGATTTATCTCCTTTAGAACTTAGGATATTTTAAAAAATATTATAACTTCTTTACTTTTTAGCTCGACTATTCGATAAGAATAAGTAGAGCTATTGCAGTCACCCGAGCGTCGGCGTCGGCGTCGGCGTAACCACTTATGTTAAAGTTTTTGTAATAGTTCAAATATTTTCAAAGTCCATTGACATATGGCTTTGAAACTTTGCACACTTGTTCACCATCATGACCCCAACCTGTAGACAGGAGGAGGTAACTCTATCAAGCATTTTGACAGAATTATGCCCCTTTTTCAACTTAGAATTTACGTTAAAGTTTTTGTAATAGTTCAAATATTTTCAAAGTCCATTGACATTTGGCTTTGATACTTTGCACACTTGTTCACCATCATGACCCCAACCTGTAGACAGGAGGAGGTAACTCTATCAAGTATTTTGACAGAATTATGCCCCTTTTTCGACTTAGAATTTACGTTAAAGTTTTTGTAATAGTTCAAATATTTTCAAAGTCCATTGACATATGGCTTTGAAACTTTGCACACTTGTTCACCATCATGACCCCAACCTGTAGACAGGAGGAGGTAACTCTATCAAGCATTTTGACAGAATTATACCCCTTTTTCGACTTAGAATTTACGTTAAAGTTTTTGTAATACTTCAAATATTTTCAAAGTCCATAGACATATGGCTTTGAAACTTTGCACACTTGTTCAACATCATGACCCCAACCTGTAGACAGCAGGAGGTAACTCTATTAAGCATTTTGACAGAATTATGCCCCTTTTTCGACTTAGAATTTACGTTAAAGTTTTTGTAATAGTTCAAATATTTTCAAAGTCCATTGACATATGGCTTTGAAACTTTGCACACTTGTTCACCATCATGACCCCAACCTGTAAACAGGAGGAGGTAACTGTATCAGGCATTTTTTTTACTATCAAGCACTAAGAATAGTCGAGCATGCTGTCCTACCGACAGCTCTTGTTAAGGTATCCACTTCAACTTTCAAATATATATTTCTTATCATTACACACATGTATGGTAAGGTTCATAACTCTAGCATGACTATTTTCAGAATTATTCCCTTGAACTCGGAATTTATGTTAACAAATGTTATTTTTTTACTAAAACTTAATACATATAATAATTATGATTATATATAATTATACATAATTGATTTTTATGCCCCCGGGCATATAGTAATTGAACCGTCCGTCTGTCCATACGAGGTTAACCTAGAATGGCAAGTTGGATTTTTCTTAAGTTTTACCTGTACCAATTAATGGCTTCATAATTTACACACTTACTAATCCATACAAAATATAAGATCTGGGCAAGTTACATAACTATGGCTTCCATTTGCACCAATTTATGGCCCTTTTTAGCACTTAGAAAATGAAAAATGGTTAACCTAAACCGGCAAGTTGGAAATATCTTATGTTCTATCTGAACTAATTTCTTAATTATTTTCACACTTACTTATCAATACAATGTACATGATATTGACAAGTTATATAAATGTGCCATCCATTATATCACTGTCCGTCTGTCTGATGGTGTAACTAAATTAGGTTTAGTTGTGACCACTCACTGTTGGTCTTTTTGATGAAGTAACTAGATTAAGTTTAGTTGTAACTAGATTAAGTTTAGTTGTAACTAGAATAAGTTTAGTTGTGACCACTCAGATTAAGTTTAGAGTCTATGTGAAGGTAAACACACAACAGAGTCATTCAATACAATAAATGGCCATAGCCCTGTATTCCACTAGTCTCTAAGTCAGATATCGTCTAATGTCGTCCATCAACACTTTAATATCTTGTTGGAAAACATAGAACTTATCAGATAGGGTCACTTTCATTTGGAAGTCAGCTTTGTTGCATCTTTCTGTCAGATTTTGACATAATTCAAGAAATTTGATGAGTAGATGACACTTTGTGTCCAGACTGCTCAAATACATTGTAAGTTTTGATTTGTTAAAAAACATTAAAACATCCTTATATGTGATAAGGGTTGTGTTTCCCTATATGTATATTAAGAAAACTTACTGTCCTGTAATACAAACTTTTTATAGCCTACTTGTTTAATGTATTGACTTATTAGAACCATTTGTAATATTATTTTTTTTATTATTTGAGATAGATAACTGAGAAATCATTATAATATTTATAGGTAACGCTTGGTCCCCGGCCTTGGACACAGAGGTGGTGGCGTATGGATCTGAAAGGAGTTCATAAAGTTGATCCCTATAGATCAGAAAAGGCAAGAATAAAAGGTAAAAAGAAAGACGAACATCCACAGTTAAAGAAGGTGTGGGAAAAAGATGATATCATGAAACATTACCGTGAATCTATAAATTATGTTGAATCAGCAGAAATTTATAAAGAGATGCAAAAAGAAAGTAAAGACTGGAAAAGGAAAAGTTAATTAGTGAAACAAGGAGACTAAATTAATAAAGTTTGTCTTGATCATAAATGGTATTGATTTGTTTATATCCCCCAAGGTAAAGTCTAAACATAAAATAATCTAGCTATATGCAAATTATCTGCATACTTGCTCCATGTAGACAATACTGCATGCTGTATTCCAAATTATATTCACTTTATGTTAGCATTCAGGTAAAATGGATAGTAATTATGTCTCCCCCACCTCGGGGGGAGACATATTGTTTTTGCCCTGTCCGTCCGTCAGTCCGTCCGTCCGTCAGTCCGTCCGTCCATTCTTCGTTTCCGGACGATAACTAGAGTTCCTTTTGACCTACAGCTCTCAAACTTCATAGGATGAATGGTCTTATTGAGCAGATGATCCCTATTGTTTTTGGGGTCAGTAGTTCAAAGGTCAAGGTCACAGTGACCGTTGGTCAATTTCTCGTTTCCGGATGATAACTAGAGTTCCTTTTGACCTACAGCCCTCAAACTTCATAGGATGATTGGTCTTATAGAGCTGATGATCCCTATTGTTTTTGGGGTCAGTAGGTCAAAGGTCAAGGTCACACTGACCGTTGGTCAATTTCTCGTTTCCGGATGATAACTAGAGTTCCTTTTAGACCTACAGACCTCAAACTTCATAGGATGATTGGTCTTATTGAGCAGATGATCCCTATTGTTTTTGGGGTCAGTAGTTCAAAGGTCAAGTCACAGTGACCGTTGGTCAATTTCTCGTTTCCGGATGATAAACTAGAGTTCCTTTTGACCTACAGCCCTCAAACTTCATAGGATGATTGGTCTTATAGAGCAGATGATCCCTATTGTTTTTTTGGGGTCAGTAGGTCAAAGGTCAAGGTCACAGTGACCGTTGGTCAATTTCTCATTTCCGGATGATAACTAGAGTTCCTTTTGACCTACAACCCTCAAAACTTCATAGGATGATTGGTCTTATTAATCAAAAATGATCCCTATTGTTTTAATGGTCAGTAGGTCAAAGGTCAAGGTCACAGCGACCGTTGGTTAATTTCTCCTTTCCGGATGATAACTAGAGTTCCTTTAAGACCTACAACCCTCAAACTTCATAGGATGATTGGTCTTATTGAGCAGATGATCCCCTCTTGTTTATGGGTCAGTAGGTCAAAGGTTTTAAGGTCACAGTGACCATTGGTCATTTTTCTCATTTCCGGATGATAACTAGAGTTCTTATCAGTGAGGACATTTAACTATTATTGATATATCAGTGATATATCAGTTGTCTGGTTTATATACTCTGTTCTTTTTTTGATCTTTCCACCCTTATGCGGGTCATTTCTTCCCCGCTGCGCGTTCAATGCTACATTGGTCACAGCAAGGTGTATTACACGCATTGTTTTTGTTTGCTGATGATAACTACAAATTCCTACTAGCGAGTGAGTTTTCATGCAATATGTAAGTATATAGTATATCACTTTCTATTCTTGTTAACTATTACTAATAGTATACATACATGCATGGCACCATTCAGACTATGTACATATTTATATTTGGTATTGCGTTACAACTTTCAAGTATCATTCAAAATCCTTCAAAGGTTGAAGAGTTATGGGAGCAGACACAATTTCCTTTAATTTCGTTTGTGAAACTATATATGATATGACATTCAAGTGTCAAGTAGACCTTGGACCTTGGAACCAGCCATACGAAACATGTACTCTACACGTTCTCTGGATGTGGTGAATTTTTGTTTCAAGTATCTACCAGAGAGGCTTCATTGTGAAAACGAGTGGAGTCATCCCAACACACTACAGTTATCATGATTTTACATACATTGTAATTTGAGTTGTCTTTCAATAGTGTAAAAAAAATCTGACAATATGAACGTTTGTTTCAAGTATCATCAAAATCCTTTAAAGGTTTGAAGAGTTATGGAGCAGACACAATTTTCCTTTAATTTCATTTGTGAAACTATATATGATATGACCATCAAGTGCAATTTCGTTTTGACGCCCGCCTGCCATACGCTGATTGAATAACCAGGATTTTTCAAAATTGAATACCTGGTTAAAAACAAACAGTTTAGGAAGCATCTTCTCATACAACCTTAACAATAGAAAACCATCCATAGACAGCCTTCATTGAAGTGACTACCGGGTATTTACATTATCTTATCTCCATTTCCATTCCTGTTTCCATTCACAGTTATTCTCAGCAGTGGGGGAGACATGCGCTTTTTTACAAAAGCATCCTCTAGTTATGATTTTGTTTTTCACTGTTTTTGTAAGATGTACAACAAATACTGCATACTTGTTCCAAGTACATAATGCTGCATACATTCTCAATGTTCATAATGCTGCATAATTGATCCAGGTACATCATGCTGCATACTTGCTCCTGGTACATAATGCTGCATAATTGATCCAGGTACATAATGCTGCATACTTGCTCCTGGTACATAAAGCTGAATACTTGCTCCTGGTACATAATGCTGCATACTTGCTCCTGGTACATAATGCTGCATACTTGCTCCTGGTACATAATGCTGCATACCTGCTCCTGGTACATATTGCTTGCAACTTGCTCCTGGTTCATAATGCTGCATACTTGCTCCTGGTACATAATGCTGCATATTTGCACTCCTGGTACATAATGCTTCATACTTGCTCCTGGTATATAAGGTTGCATACTTGCTCCAGGTACATAACTGCTGCATACTTACTCCTGGTACATAAATGTTGCATACTTGGTCCAGGTACATAATGCTGCATTCTTATTCCTGGTACATAATGTTTCAAACTTGCTCCAGGTACATAATGCTGCATACTTGCTCCTGGTACATAAACCTGAAATACCTTGCTCCTGGTACATAATGCTGCATACTTGCTCCAGGTACATAATGCTGCTTACTTGCTCCTGGTACATAATGCTGCATTCTTATTCCTGGTACATATTGTTGCCATACTTGCTCCTGGTACATAATGCTGCATACTGCTCCAGGTTCATAAATGCTGCATACTTGCTCCTGGTACATAATGCTGCATACTTGCTCCTGGTACAATAATGCTGCATAATTGCTCCTGGTACATAATGCTGCATAATTACTCCTGCGTACATAATGCTGCATACTTGCCTCCAGGTTAAATA